GGATTTTTTGGTTGTTGTTTTTTTTTTTTTTTTTTAAGTTAGTTGGTTTGTTCAGTTTTGTTTTTTAATAAAGATTATTCTTTAGCCCAGGCTGAGGGTACGAACAGAACTCTTCACATGTCTACCATGAGAAAACCTGTTTTTACAGACTTCCTGTTGTGGCATAAGAGAGTGTGAGTTTTTGCACATGCAACATTGTAACGTAAACCCCTGACTGTCTGTGAAAGCCAAAGTCTTGCTATTTTAAATTAAATAAATAAATTATTTTTCTTCTGCAGTTGGGTAAACGGACTGACCACTGACATGGGAGGGGTGGGCCTGGAGGCTCAGACTGGCCTACGTCAGGCAGCCTTCTACTCTGCTGAAACCTGGAGAGACATCTCTGCCCTTCTGTGTTGGCAAATGTCCCATAAGGTGCCACCCCATGGGGATAGCCAGTTTCTGAGTTTACTTGGTGAAGATCATGGAGGAAGAAAGTGGGGCGTATTCAAATACAGATTCCTGGGCCCTGTCCCACAATGAGGATCAACAGGTCAGGTACTGGGCACCCATGACTTGGCCTAAATTTGCAGGAGGGAGACTCTCCAGGGCTGAGCTGCAGGCCCAGCTGCCCATCATGTCTCACTTTTTTATGGTACCTGGTGAATCCCTGCATCTGCCTTGCAGCTTCCTGATAGGGGTGTGTGGGGCTCTGGGAGCTCTTCTCTGAAAGGCTGTGCTCTGAAGGCCTTTCAAAACCAGGGAGAGGAGCCAGCAGCCTTGCTTGGGCGCTCAGGCTTGCACAACCCAAGTGGCCTGCTTTAGGCTTTTTTAAAATTATTATTATTATTATTATTATTATTATTATTATTATTATTATTATTATTGAGACAGGCTCTTGCTGAGATGCTGAGGCTGGCTTTGAACTTGTGATCCTCCTGCCTCAGCCTCCCAAGCCAATGGGATTACAGGTGTGTGCCACTGCACCTGGCCTAGGCACATATTAATTAGTCCATCTTGGAACATTGCCCTCCCATGTCTCTCAAGCTTTGTTTCTTCATTCTTCTCTCTGGATTTTGTGAAGTCAAAACAACATTATCCCCTGGAAGTGATACCTTTTAACACTAATTTTGTTATTTAGGTGCAACGTGCAAATTTAAGGAATACTAAATTGCAGTTTCTTCTTTGGGGGTAACCGCTTTGCAGTCTTTTAGCGATTCTGTCTGGCTTTTGTATCTCTAAAGTCCATGCCATGCGCTTACCTGGGAGAAAAATGGAAGAAGCCACTCCCAGCCTATCTCTAGGGATCCACCTTGGCTTGACTACAGCCATCTTGGTCACAAGTGCCAACTCACCCACCAGGTGACCTTGGCATGCATTCCAAACCCTGTAGGATAAACAAAGTTGTTAAGAGAGTCGCCGTGCCAGCCACGGATGGCCAGAGTGTCTAACTGACATGTTTGACAAATTCATATTTTTTTGAGAAAGCCCAGGTACGTTCTGGCTGGCTGCAGCCCCTGTCCTCTGGCCAGCGTCCTTTGCAGGCTCTCAGAGTGGCATGGGACAAGAATGGAATGTCAATCCTTTTCTCTTTTGGTGCTGGGGATGAAACCAGGGCCCCGTGCACTCTAAGCATGAGCCCTACCACTCAGCTGCATTCCTAGCCCTAGCCATGGTTTTGAATGTCAAAATCGGTGGTTTGGGGGCTGGGGTGTGTCTCGGTGCAGAGTGGTTGCCTAGGTGGGCTCAAGGCCCTCTCCAGGAAAAGGTGGGCCTTGCAGGGTGTGGGATGGGGCAAGGATCATGACAGAACTGTGTCAAATGCTGGGCACAGTCGTCACCGGAGGAGGGTCCGAGGAGGTCCCTGAAAGGGGGACCTCAACTCAGGACCAGTGGGGTTCTTGAAAAATGTCACAGGAGGGAATATTTAAGGATACATCCAAAAGGGGCAGCAACAGAGGTTTGCTTAGGAGGGAAGGATTCCGTGCTCAGGGAGGAAGGTGGGCTGTGCCAACAGTGAGAGGAGAAAGGCCTTGGTCCTAATATTTATGGGGCAGCAGCCAGGGGCTAGAGGTGGCGTTGGGGTGGGGTGACACAGTTTCACTCCCGTCTTCAGGACCCAGCCTGCCCCCTCATGAGCTGTTTCTTGGGTATTCCAACAAATCTCGGGCACTTCTCTTTTAAGACTTGTGTAACTTTTTCTCTGAATTTCTCTCAGCCCGCTGAGGACTGGAGGAAGAGCCCCGAGAGGGTTTGGGGTGTCAACTGTCATTGGGTGCTTTGAGGCACCTTTCCAGGACATTCCAGAGGGAACCAGAAAGTGACTTGCAGCGTCCCTGTCCCTGGGCAGCTGTCCTGGGAGTGGTGAGGTGAGGGGGCCACAGGCAGCCACATTTCGGTACAAAGCCAAGTGGGTGGCTTCAATTCCCCGAGGAAAAGGGAAGCAGGTGCGTCCCCACCACCAGGTCTGTGCGCCACGGGGCTCTGGGAAGGAAGCCTGGGTTCCAACCACAGCTCCGCCACTGAGGACCGGATCACTCTGGGCAGACGATGTGGCCCTCAGCCGGGGTTTCACCTAACCTGGGGGTGACAGGGAGACTGACCTGAGGCCGCTGCTTCACCCCATGACTGGGCCGAGAGCTCCGTGACCCAGGATACCACCATCTGGAACCCGCCTGCTTCTGGGCCTCGGGCAAGGCCTCAGTGGCCCCCAGGGGCCTTGGGAAGGGACACTTACTTGATGGGTGCCTCCTTTTACACAAGGATTTCTGGCAGTTCCTCAAAACCATGATGCCAGAGGCGGAAGCAGCCCCTCTCTCCCTTGGACCCCTTCCATAGCTCCTCTCCCCAGCAGTCGGCAGGGCCCTGGTCTTGCCTGGGCCCATTGCATCAGGGTGCAGAGGCGAAGGGAACTTCCAGGGTTTGGTGGGGAAAAAAAAGCAAAAAAAAATTAACTGGAGATTTAACAATTTATTGCACTGAAGAAGGGTGTCATAACTCCAAGCTTATATACCTTTTTTTTTCTATAGGAAAGAGAAGAATTTCTGTTTGGAGACAGAAATTATCTTATAAAAAGATTATTATTATTATTTTTTTTTGGTAGATGGACACCATACCTTTACTTTTTTTAAAATTTTTTTTATGGGCTGCGGAGGATCAAACCCAGTGCCTCACAGGTACTAGGCAAGTGCTCTACCCCTGAGCCACAAACCCAGCCCCTGAAAAGGTCCTCTTTAGGGTATGTCCAGGTGTGGTTGCATTCTTCAGTACCCTTTTGTTAAGTTTTGTTTTTCAGGGCTGGGGATGGGACCCCGGGCCTCCAACATGCCAGGCAAGCACCCTGCCACTGAGCCGTACCCCTAGGCTTTCAGTCTTTTAAGGGATGGGATCTCGCGACCTTTCCCAGGATGCTCTTAAACTCCTGAGCTGAAGTGACTCTGGCTTCAGCCCTCGGAGCGCGGGACTCCAGCCATGCGCGAGCCTCCACCAGGCTGTCTTCTTTCCAATAGATCATGAGATCCTAGGGTGGGGGTGGGGGGCAGTGGGAAGAGCCATTGCCTGCCCCCTCCCACCCCTCTGCCACCTTATCACAGGGTCTGCTCCAAGTGCAGCCTGCAGTTAGCCACATAGAGAGGATGACTCCCGGGGGTGAGTCTGCCCCCGCTGGGCACAGACCTGGGAGCAGGTGTCCCGGGAGGGGTCACTGAGGGCCGCATTCAGGGAAGGCAGGGAGCAGTGCTTCTGCGACTTTAGCGTCTTCGAGGTCTGAGCTGGAGACGGAGAGCCTGCTGTCAGAAGCCGGCATTCCTGGGGTGCGGGGGTGCTGCCCTGCACAGACCAGCGAGGGGCCTCAGGATGTGGGCGGATGCTCCTGTGGTTCAACCGCGGGAGGGCGCACAACAAGATCCCAGGCGGGAAGTGGAAGATGTGTCATGGGGAGACACAAGGATAGGCAGGAGGAGGTGACAGGGAGGGAAAGAGGACTGGAACTTTACATCTACAACCCCCCCAACGCCCTCCTCTCCTTCACTCCTGGCTGAGTTCTTCAAGGGTCCCATAAATCTGAGAGGACCGTGAATCCAGCTAATTAGTACCTGTGGCTTTGGGAGTTTACAGAAGGCGTTTTCAGACTGACGTAAGGAAACCCAGAGAGCCAGCTTGTGAGACTCCCTGACGTGGTCCGAGCTCTACACATTATCAACCAGGTAACATGATTCTGCAAAAAAAACAGACCACCATGACTCCTCTGGCTCCGCGATCAAAGATCCTCGGGCTGATGCCACTCCTTAGGCTTCTCACAGACTCCACTGACAAGGTTTCCTCGAAAAGAAACCCCGGAGACCAGCGGTTCCCCACCCTGCAGCCTGCCCTCCCTCTCCCCTCAAGGGCATCCATGGGGCTTACCGAACACATCTGCCTTCCTAAATGAGTCTCCACTTGAGCCTCTCTGGACGCACCCTGAAGTTCCTTTCTGTGGGGTAAGAACCAGCCAGGACCAGGCAAAGTAGCACACGCCCAGAACCCCAGTGTCTTGGAGGCTGAAATTAGAGGATCACCAAGTTTGCAGCCAGCCTCAGCAACTTCGTGAAGCCCTGAGCAGTTTAGTTAAAGACCCTGTATCAAAATAAAAAATAAAAAAGGGCTAGGGATGTGGCTCAGAGTAAAGTGCCCCAGGATGAATCCCCAGTACCCAAAACAAAACCCAAAAAACCTGCCAGGACTGCACATAGGTGCCCTTCTCCCTCCTGGGGACCCCTCATCCAGTGACAGCCCCAGCTCCTGAAGTGAAGGGGCCCAGGGGCTGGGCAGCTGACTTGTTGGGTTTGCCGATGTGTGGGGTGCTCCCACCGTGGCCCGTTTCAGGATTTCAAGCTGCTATAGAGGAGCAGAGTGTCCTGGAGGGCCCTGCTCTGCTTCTAGGGCTCCGCCCCACGCTGCCTTCCAGCCTCCATCCCGAGCATCGAGCATCGTAGATAAGAATGACCTTGTGAAATCATTCTTTCTAGTTTTATTTTTTCCCATTACGGAGGATTGAGGCCAGGTGCTCGGCCACTGCTACGTCACCGTCCTTTTCAGTTTTATTTTGAGATCGGGTCTTGCTAAGCTGCCCAGCCTGGCCTTGAACTTGCTGTTCTCCTGCCCCATCCTCCAAGTCACTGAGATGACAAGCGTTGGCCACCACGCCCCCGGCATTGCAAAATGATTCTTATCCGTAGACATGCAGATTTCCTCCGTGGATTTTCCCTGGAGTCCCCTCGAGAAGGCAGCGTGTGACCCTTTGCAAGTGCTCTGCTTCCTCTTTTGAACCAGTTACACCGTCTGCGGATCTCTCAAAAATAATGAGCTTTGTAAAACCTTTAGCACATGCTTATTTTCAATCTGTACAGGAGTCCTGGGGTTTTGTTGTTGCTCTGTTTGTTTTGACCAGGATTGAGCCTAGGGGTGGGCTTCCTTCCTCCCTTCCTCCCTCCCTCCCTCCCTCCTTCCCTCCCTTCCTTCCATCCTTTTTGTAGAGGGAACTGAATCCAGGGGCACTCAACGACTCAGCCACATCCAGTCTCTTATTTTTTGAGACAGGATCTCACTGAATTGCTTAGGGCCTCTATAAGTTGCTGAGGCTGGCCTTGAACTTGGGATCCTCTGGGGCTGGGGATGTGGCTCAAGCGGTAGTGCACTTGCCTGGCATGCGCCGGGCGCTGGGTTCCATCCTCAGCACCACATAAAAATAAAGATGTTGTGTTCGCTGAAAACTAACAAATAAATATTTTTAAAAAACTCTTTCTCTCTCTCTCTCTCTTAAAAAAAAAAATTGTGATCCTCTGCCTCAGCCTCCCGAGTTCCTGGGGTTACAAGCCTGCACCATACCCGGCAAACCCAGGGGCTTTGGAGTGCTACATGTGTGCGCCATCACTGAGCCACATTACTCTCCGCCCACCCCCAAGGCTCATGGTTTTTATCTTTTGGGGAAAATTATCCTTTAACATTAAGGTGAGGTCACTAAAGCATGGAGATAGAGTTGTACAGTTAGCACCTGTTATAGAATATTGCCACATATTTTTATTCAGATGAAATCCACATAATACAATTAAACAGTTTTAAATGAACAGTTCAAGGGCATTTAATATATTCCTGATGTTTTGCAATTGCAACTATATCTAGTTCATCGTCCCAAAGGAAAACCTGTGTCCCTCTGCAGTCACTGTTCATTCCCCTGCAACCACCAATCTGCATTCTGTCTGTAAGGAGTGATCTATTCTGGAATTTCATTTAAATGGAATTGTACAATATGTGACGCTTTTTTCTGCCTGGCTTTGTTCACCTAACATTATGTTTATTGTTGTTGTTATTGTTGCTTTTTGCAGTGCAGGGGATCAAATCCAGGGCCACATGCATGCTAAGAAAGTGCTATACCACCGAGCTACCCCCCGCTCCAGCCCTGAACAGAACCTTTAATTTGGCTAAGATGATGTAAGCCTTATGGTATGTGGTTTTTAACCACAATATAAAAGTAGTGAAGTTTAAACACAAAGAAGCGTCCACCCTGGGTGACACGTGGTCAACAGGAGCTGCCTGGTCTCCGCAAAGCCTGGTGACACCCAGGCTGCCATGCTTTCTGTCCGTGATTCCCAGGTACACACACACCCTCCTTGTACACTTGTGTTCTCTGATAGGCAAGGTCAAACTCTGTTCTTCCTAGGAAAAAATATATAACCACCTGGTCATATTGAGGTGTGTCAGAACATGATCAGCCACTCCCCTGCCCAGGGGGCACTTGTCAGAAGCTTGGTCCCGAACTTAACTGATGACAGAGTACGTCCCCAGCTCCAGGAGCAAGAGCACTGACTTAGAAGGGCCTCTCCCCCTCCTCCCTACCCACCTTGCAGAGTTGGGTTCTGATGACCAGATGGCACGCGCTGGTGGGGTGCGGATAGTCACAGGACACAGGGGGAGGGAGACACCCTGGGTGGGCATGGGGCTTCTGAGGTTTTGTGTGGACACAAAGAGCTGCTGGGGCACCGCAGGGGTACAGGTGGCTGGCTGGGTCTGCCTGGACCCTGGTAACACTCCTTCCTTATCTCACCTGGAATGGAAATGGCTGAGAGCGATTTCTCCCTTCCTGCCCCTCCCTGCAATCAAGCCTGCCGCAGGCTGCCCTGCCTTGGTAACAAGCTCATTGTGTGCCCGCCAGACACACGCTGGGCATCTCCACTGTGATGCGATAAACGTGTTCCTCAAGAACCTGACACCTGCTTGTGGCACACAGAAACAGCGCTTAGGGGAAGATCGCCCGTCAGACCGCTGGGGTCTGGTGCAGCTTTTTCATCTGAACCCAGACAAAAGAGCTGCAGTTTGGACGAAGACAGCAGTGCAGCTAAACCTCCGCTGGCATCCGCTCCAGCAGCGGGGGTCAGTCTTTTAAGATGAAGGTCCTCAGCACATTCTCTTCCCGCAGAGAGCTGTTTCGTCCCATTTAAACCTGAAGCTGCGAGCTGGGCGCAGAGCTCCACGGGAGGGCGCTGGCCTGGCCTGCACAGGCCCTGGGTTCCATCCCAGCACTGCAAAAAAGAAGGGGTGCTGCAGACACGGTTCAGTGATGGAATAGCACAAGGCCCTGGGCTCAATCCCCAGCCTCCCCAACATGTCAAAACAGCCATGTGTGTCAAAACAGCCACGTGTGTGAAGAGGCCGTCAGCTCCCTTCCTGTCTCCCTCGTTAATTTAATGTCGGGGAAAGCACTAGCCCCAGGGCCTCCCCAGTTTTCAGCGCCCCTCCTCCATCTCCGTCTGCCACTAAGGCCTGCTCTTTCACTGAGAGGATGGCGGTCGCTGGCCGCCTGGCTCCGCTAGGGGCGGCCACTGGCAGGCACCCAGACCGCACACCCTCTCCACGGGCGGACGGCAGCCCATTGACCAACCGCACAGTGTGCACCGAGCCCAGCAGGCAGCACCATTGGCACAACCAGGACTTTGGTATCAAATCTTGTGTTTTCAATCCCAGGAGACCTCCAGGCAGGAGCTAATGAGGGTGATTATCAGTGAACATCAGGTTCAGCTTCACGGGACAGACCGCTAAGTGAAAGAGGGTGTTTCTGCACTACTTACTAAGTCTAGGCAGGCTTGGCATGGGCTTCCTCGGGGTAAAGGACCCCAGCTCCTCCTCTTTTTTTTTTTTTTTTTTTTGAAACAGGCCTCACTAAGTTGCAGAGGACCTTGCTAAATGGCTGAGGCAGTCCTCAAATTTTCGATCCTCCTGCCTCAGCCTCCACTATCACTGGGATTACAGGTATGGGCCACGGTGCCCAGCTCTCTTGTCTTGTTGTTTGTCCTGTGTGGCCTCAATCTCTTGGCCCACACTGGTGCTGTCCACGCTCTAGGCAGTGGGACAGAGAAAGAGACGAAGGAGAAGGTCAGGCTATCGGAAGTGTCATCTTTGCATATGTTGCGGTCATAGACCTACACCAACCGCAGGGCTCTGGGAGAAGATGTCTGTATTGGGGGCAGCCACAGGTCGGTGATGGAATACTCACAAGGGAACTCTAGAAGAAGAACCAATCAAATGGATTTGGGGGTGGGGAAGAGAGCCATTAGCAGTCTGTGCAATCGAAGCCCAGGCAAAACTTTAAAATTCCAGAACATTCCTAGAGAGGTGAGCCCAGCAGGACCTGAAGTCCTGATATCGTTGTCCAGCTTTGGAGCAGCCCAGGGACTTGCCAGTCTACCCTGTGCTGCTGGTCTGACATTTTACACCCTGGTTGAATTTTTCTTATAAAAGATGATATTCTTTTTGTTTTCTTATTACAGTAGTAATAGAGAAATGTTATTCCCCCTCCCCACCCTGCCATTGCCACATTTTGTCAATTCTATGTGATAAATATCTCTCCAATGGATCTGCTTCTCTTATTCCTACTGCCACAGCCTCACTGCCCCCTCTCCCCGTCCCCAAACCCAATGGTTTTTGTCCCTAAAATATTCTCCTCTGGCAGCCAGAGTGATCTGTAAAGTCACCTGGGTGCCAAGTTCAGCGGTACACACCTGTAATGCTAGCTACTTGGGAAGCTGAAGCCAGAGAATCACAAGTAGGAGGCTAACCTCAGCAACTTAGCAAGATCCTGTCTCTAAAAAATAAAAAGGGCTGCGGAAGTAGCTCAGTAGATAAGCTCCTCTGGGTTCAATAGCAGGTACCAAAAAACAAAAAACAAACAAAAATTCCTGTGTGTGTGTGTGTGTGTGTGTGTGTGAGAGAGAGAGAGAGAGAGAGAGAGAGAGAGAGAGAGAGAGAGAGAGATATTAAGGATTGAATTAGGGGTACTTTACCACTGAGCTATGTCCCTTAGGGCCTCACTGAATTGCAATCCTCCTGCCTCAGTCTCCAAGTCACTGGGATTACAGGTGTGTGCCACTCACCCAGCTTGGTTTTTTCTTTTCTTTTTTCTTTTTCTTTCTTTTTTTTGGGGGGGGGCGCGGAACAGGAGTTACTGGGGATTGAACTCAGGGGCACTCAACCACTGAGCCACATCCCCAGCCCTCTTTGTATTTTATTTAGAGACATGGTCTGAGTTGCTTAGCGCCTCACCGTTGCTGAGGCTGGCTTTGAACTCTCAGCCTCCTGACTCAGCCTCTGGAGCCGCTGAATCACAGGTGTGTGCTACTGCACTTGGCAGCTTGTTTTTAAAAATTTTACAGATTTGGGGATCAAACTGAGGGCTTCATACATGTGACCTACCACTTCCACTGAGCTATACCCCCCCCATCCTCTCCCAAACTTTTATTTATTTATGAAATATTAGGAATTAAACCCAGGAGCACTCTACCACTGAGCTATACCCCCAGCCCTTTATTTACTCATTTAGAGATAGGATCTTGTTGGGTTGCTGAGGTTGTCCTCTAATTTGCAATCTTCCTGCATCCGCCTCCCCAGTTGCTGAGATTCCAGGCATGTGGCCACCACATCTGGCTTCTCCCAAATTTTGAAGGCCTTCCCTCAGCTCCTAGGACCAAAAGCAAGCTCCTTAACAAAGCTGTGCTAATGATAGTCTGACCTACCCCCTCTTCCACCACTTCCCAGCTCCCTCTCTACCACTCTTTTGCCCTGCATTGTGTCTTTGGCTGCCCTGACCTTGTGATTTCTTTTTCCCTTTTTTTTTTTTTTTTTTAATTTTGGTTCCAGGCATTGAACCCAGGTGTGCTTAACCACTGAACCATATCCCCATCCTTTTTGTTTTGTTTTGTTTTTGTATTTTAAGACAGGGTCTCTCTAGGTTGCTTAGGGATTAACTAGGTTGTTGAGGCTGGCTTTGTACTTGCAATCCTCCTGCCTCAGCCTCCCATGCCATGGCTCCCAGCATGACCTTGTGCTTTCTTGATGGCACTGATCTCTGTCCTACAGGGCCTTGGTACCTGCTGTTCCCTGCCTGCAAGGCTTTCTCTGTGAGCTCTTCCATCCCAGCTCCAGCCCACATGTCAGGGAAGGCTCCCAGCCCAGCTGCACCACACACACCCTAGGGGCCGTTCCTAGCTATAAGTTGATCCATGTGCTTATTTGAGCCCCAAGAGACCAAGGCTATTTTGCACCCTATTACTTTTCCCCTCTAGTACAGCAATAGGCTCAGAAAATAAAAACATAAATAAACACTAAGAGGAGATCTCCAAAATCTTACATTCCATAACAATCAGTTTTCAGGTGCTGAATTTCCTAGAAGGGTGCAGGAACATCAGCGTTCACATTTTGTGTTTGTAATGATGATTTCGGAAATGAGATTTACCAGGACTCTTGGTAAACACTGTCCCCGTTCAAAAGACCCCAGCACGCCCCAGGCCCGGGTTCCATCCCCAGCACCAAAAAGAAAGAAAAGAAAAGAAAAGAAACCTAATGTGAGAAGTCAGACAGCGCCCAGGCGAGGCTGAGCTAGAGAACCGCTGACTCGCTTTGGGTCTTCTTTAACCTCTGTCCTAAGGTCCTCAGGGAGGAGAAAGTCAGAGGTGCCCCCCGGGGCCCAGCTCCCAGGGACACCTGCAGCTGCTCCACCAGTTCCCTTCCCGTCCTGGCCCAGCAGCGACAGGGGCAGGGGTCCGGGGTTGCCACCTGCTCCTGCGGTAACGGAAATTCTGAAAACCCACAAGGTCCACCCGCAGTGGGCGAGCCCAGGCCACACCTTTAGGAGCACAGCACTGTGCCCTCAGAGGGGCCACGGCCCGCTTTTGAGCCCTTGGGGTCTGAAGGCCTTTTCTGGCCTAACGGCGGCCTGAGAGGAGGAGTCCGGGGTCCTAGGGCCAACGAGGACCCCAGCAGGGCTTACAGAGGACCTGGGCAGGGGCATCCTCTGCCGCCAGGAGCACCCTAAGGGCGGCTGGGCAAGCGGCCTGGCAACTGCTCCCCACAAAACTAACCAAGGTTATGGGCCAGAAGGAGGCCTCCGGTCAAGGCCGCCGAGGACCAGGGCCGGGAAGGCGCTGCCGGAGCCGGTGGGCCCCAGTGGGACGGCGCCGCCCGCCCGCGCCCAGTCGCGCGCCAGGTCCCGCCGGCCAGGGCGAGCGTTGGTGACCCCGAGCTGAGCCTGCGGCCCCACGGAAAGGCAGGAACCAGGTACAGGTTGACTGATCCCCTCTGGGCCCCCGTGCCCCCCTCCCTGGGCACTGGCCGGAGGACGCCCTGGGAGAAGCGGAAGGTGTGGGTCAGGACGCTGGCCCCTCGCCTCCTCCGGGCGTGACAAGGCTGGGGGCTGCAAAGGTCGCCCCTGCTTTCCGTTCCATTGCGCAACCTGGTCCCCTTCCCCTCACTCGCCAGGAGCCGACCCCCACCCCATTAAAGTGCATTTCCTTTGGAGAGTGTCCCAAACTTTGAAAGAATCTGCCACCTCGGGCCTGGCCGTGCACTAGTGGGAAACCACTGTGTCAGGGCTGGGACCCAAGAAAAATAGTAAGGGGCGTGCGGGTCCTGCCCTAGCGGGGTCCAGGGAGTCCTGAAGGGTGAGTGGCGAATAGATGAGACAGGATCGTTGGGTTGGAGCAATCTCCAGAGAGAGCCAATGCAGCTTTCTCTGGGTCTTCTTTTATTGCGATTTTTCTCATCATTATAGATTCAGAATACTGTCATTGATTATACAATTTCAAACTTTGCCAAGACATGACATTTCCTTAACCATGACTGGGGGTACAAAAAAATGTAACATTAATTTACATTTTTCCAGGATATGACCTTTAGTTATTTAATTATTAAAAGTGCCGAATCATCAATAAAATGCATCACTAATTTACATTTTTCAGATTTTCCCAAGATTTACCATTTTCCCCAAGATATGCTATTTTCTTATTAACTAATGTCAAACCAGGTAACTAGACTCTAAGTCTTCTATCATTAACCTTTAAGTTTAAAGTACACCTTTACTTTATTTGTAATCTAAAATTCCCATCCAAAAAAGTCCCCTTAAATCTTATACTTAAAATATCCTAAAGTTTATAAATCATTCTTAAAACATATCAGAAACCCATGCAACCAAGAACTTAAGAATTTCTAAACCAAAAATCTAAATAGGATAATATTTCTAACATTATTCTAAAAATACATCTTATAAAGCTACTTTAATTAATTATTAAATTTATTCTCATAAAACTGGTTGAGCTGCTTTCTCAAAGAGTTTCTTGGTTTCTCAGTCAAGGTGCACTAGTTCTCATATCTTTATAATCTTTCTCAATAGAAAGTAAGTTCTAAACATCAGTCCACTTTCCGCCAATATTAACTATGCTCATCATAAATCCCTATGTAAAGTAAAAAGGGTTTATAAAAAGAGAAGAATATATCTTTATATGTTTTAACTTTCCTAAGTGTATAATGTAACTTTCCTTAACCAAAAATGAGACCACATAGGGTGAACTTTGTAAAATAAGCATAATGATTAGGTTTTCTAAGAGGCCGGAAATACGGGCTTGGGTTCTAGTTGATATAATCAATGTGGTGCCCAAAATTCTCGTGACCTTTCAGAGGATGATTGTCGTCCATTATCAGATTTGTCCTCAATGTGCTGAGACAGAAGAACAGCCTCTACTTTGTCCTTGACATGCTGAGGGGTAGTAGAACAGCCTCCAAGGCAAGAACTACCTGTTATTTTTCAGCCATCTGAAATTTAATTTGTTTGGCATTTAACATGCTCATGCCTCCTGTCAGGAACATGAGCATGGAAATGAAAAGTCCCAATTACACAAAAAAGGGTATCATGGTCTTGGTTTCCCACCAACCAGCGCGGCTTTGTCAGCATTCATCCTCAATGTGACCCTGCAAGACAGTGAGTGGGGATCTCCTTCACCAGGGAAGTGCTTTTCCTGTGAACAGGGACATAGGGACACCCCCAGCACACACACAGGACGTCCTCCTCAGTCTCCACACTGAGCAACCCTGGTCACAACTGCAGAGATTGCAGCAGGTGCCAAGGTCGGGTGGCCAACTCACAGTGGGCTCCAGTCACTAGTTGAAAGGTGAAGGAGGAGAATGACCAGATTAATTGGATTTGTGCCACGGCAAATAAAACCAAGATCGAGTCCTGCACAGAAGAAAACCCGCGGGCTTGGTGGGAACTTTGCTCTGGATTTTGGCCACTGGGTCTAGCATGCCCCTTGGCAGCTGAACACGTGCTAAGCACAGGGGCCAGCAGTGGCCTGGCTGTGAGTGGACAGCAAATGGACCCAGCCCAGCAGGGTGACTTACTTTCCCAGCCCAGAGGCCAGGATAAAGGTGCAGTTCTTTATTGCCTTCCCAACCCCGATGAATGCACAGAAAAGAACACCTCTAGGCCACTCATAGGGTCTTACAAAGGAGAATAAGGAACTGTCCCCCAAAAGAGTAACATGACGCTGGGGGTGTGGCTGCATGGTAGGGCACAGGCTTAGCAAGCATGAAGCCCCAGCTTCCATCTCAGCAGAAAAAAAAAAAAAGTTGTATGATTATTTGAGCAAAAACTGGCTACTGACTAGTAGGTCTTGGTTGCAGGCTCCCGGCTGGAACTGCTTCTAGAAGCGTCCAGGGACCCCATCTGCGGCCCCCCTGTTTGCCTGGTGTGGTATAAGTGTGACAATGTTGCTTTCCTTGTGTTCCTGACAGAAATAACCCTTCCAGTTACTCATCTCAAGCCTGCCTGGTGGACACTTCCGCTGTGGGGAAGCGCCACAGACTGTCCCCATCGGGACAGCGCTGGGCCTGCAACCCCAGGGCACCCACTGGCTCAGCCAAACCCCAGACGTGTAACTGAAAAGCGGAAGTGAAAGGCAGGCAGGCAGGCCTCTGGGTTCCCGAAAGGGTTATTCGGACTTAGACTGGCTGTAAAAATGCAATTGGCTGGTAGTTGCCACGGCCAAAGTGCATCCGGAGTGTCCTCTCTCTCCATCCAGTGTGTTTGTCACTTGGAGGAGGCAAGCGGCACGTTGTCCCTGCAGCGCAGAGATGGAGAGTTCCAATGAAGAGAAGAAGGAAGGGGTAAGTGTGTTGGAGGGGGCCAGGGCCTGCTGCAGGGCCTGCCCAGCGGCCCTGGGCAGTCATGGGGGTCCCTAGTATCCTGGAGCCAACTCTGAGACCCCGTGGGGGTACTTGCCCCTCCACCCACCCAGCTACTGGACTCTTACAGGGAGTAGAGGTGAGGTTTACAAATACCCTTTCTGCTGAGCATTCTACTGGAACAGCTGTTTAAAAAGTATCCAGACTACATTCCAAACTGAAGAGTCTGAAAGGGTTCATTTGCCCGTTTCTTCTTCACGGTAAGAATGTGAGATGAAGAGACTTCACAATCAGATGTGTCGGGTACAAAATCCTTAGATGCCGCTGGTGAGCTTTGGTCAAAATTTTGTTTTGAGTTTGGTTTCAGAGAATTTTAGTCTTTTCAGCAAGTAACATAGCTAACCTGCATGCAAAGAAGATAAACGCCAAAAAGGTATTGCTTGATTTTTTTTGTTTGTTTGTTTTTAGAGGTGGAGTCTTTGTGGCCCTCCACTAATCATATTACAGCCACTTACTTGTAGATTCCCTTGATTGAGGCAGTGCATAATGAGGGAAAGATAACATGATTTCAGACACTTTCCAGGAATCTGCGTCTTATTGATCACAATGACATTTACTTGTGGTGGAGAGGGGAAGGGTAGTGTGCATTTGTGCAGAACGTTGTTATTCTGTCGGGGATGGAGACATGCTCGTCACAGGCCGGTTGGAGCATGTGGAGTAAAAGTGGTTCTGGGAGATGGACGCACCTGTTACTCTTTCCTGCTCCATCCTGTTACCCCAACAGGACTTGGCAAGTTAGTTAACTCTTCTCTGCCTTAGTTTTCTCATCTATAAAATGGCAATCATAGCCTGGACCGTGGTGTACACCTGTAACCCCAGCCACAGCAGGAGGATCTCAAGTGCAAGGCCAGCCTAAGCAACTTGGAGAGACTCTGCCTCAAAAAAAAAAAAAAAAAAAAAATGATGTGGCTCAGTGGTAAAGCACCCCTGGGTTCCATCCCTAGTGCCTAAATAAATGAAGAGGAATAACAGGCACTCCGTGTCATGGGTCCTGGAGTAATTAAATGGAATAATGCACATCAAGCCCCTGGCACAGTGAATTCTCCTATAAGGTTATTACTTCTGTGATCCTTTAGAGCGGGGTTAATCTCAGCTCTGTTGACATTGGGTACTAGATAATTCTGTGTTGCTGACACAGAATTGTAGGGTGTTTAGAAGCATCCCTCTCCCTGACTCACCAGATGCCAGGTGGGACAAGCAAATGTCCTCTAGAGACAGAAGCAATCCCTGCCCCCCAGCTGCCGATCACAGCTTTACTGCACGCCCGCATGCCCACTTGCCCGCACGGAGGTTTTCTTGTTTGGATTTCACAGCTTAGAAAGTGTTGGGCAAAAATCGAGTGTCGTGGCCTCTATTGGCTGGAACAGGAACGGAGGTAAAGAGGGCATGGCCAGAGGAGGGCCTGGTTTGCTGTCCGCCAGTCAAAGAGAAATGCAAGGGATGGAACCGCACCTCCCCGTGGCACACCCTGAAAATGAGCAACACTTTGTCAAAGGAAACGATTCCAATGGCCACATGCAAAGGGCATGACCAGTCATGGCCTCTCGTCCTCTGGGGGAGAAGTCTCCTCTGGGCCAGGCACAGGGGAGGACTTAGGAGCAGTGCGGGGAGGCTGCCTGGTCTGAGCAGAAGGTGCCAGGCAGTGCATCAGGCCCGGCTCTGTGGCCCTCTGTGACTCTCTGTGGCCCTCTGTGGCCCTCTGTGGTCCTCTGCAGCTCGCTGTGGCTCACTGTGACTCTCTGTGACTCTCTGTGGCCTTCTGTGGCTTTTTGTGGCTAGCTGTGGCCCTCTGTGGCTCTCTGTGGCTGGCTGTGGCTCTCTGTGGCCCTCTGTGACTCACTGAGACTCTCTGTGACCCTCTGTGGCTCTCTGTGGCTGGCTGTGGC